ACAGACAGCTAAGCACTTGTCATACTCTTCCCCTTGTTTTCCAGCAACTGGGAATTCTCTTAAATATTTTGCTCTGTGTAATTACCCTTACATGATATAAGAATAATATTCTGTAATAAGGTCTTTTGCTTGGCATTGTCTTGATCTTCAGTACATTCTTTCAGGACAGAAATGCACTATCTCCTGGAAGAGCTGCTCCATTTGTTCCCCCACTTCCTTCATTTACTGCATAGAAACTTTTTATTAGCCAACGTTAGACCCAAGTCAGTATGGACTAGAAAGTGGCTACGAGTTAACTCTGAAGGAACAGTATGGAGACTGTGTCACATGTAGTCTATTTTTTTTTAGTGTCTGTGTCACCACATTCAATGTTGTGTTTGCTCATATTCTACAGCAAAAACAAGTTCGGAACAGATTTTTTCCCAGATTTGATTTTGTCTTTTCAAAGGAAGGTTAAAAGGCAGAAGAATTATACCAAAGCTTATAATGAGAAAATAAGACTTAAAGTGTGTAGAACTAACTTGCAAAGTTGTCAGGAATATTTTAAAGACTCATCTTCCTAAATGTGTTAGAGAGCAGTTTTCTTCCTAGTCTCCCATTTTCCAGCATATCTCTCCCCCCTTGCTTTCCTACAATCCCCCCAAGTCACAGACAGCAAACACATGAAATCTCATGTATGTAAGTTATAAAAATTCTTTGAAAGCAGCCCTGAACATTACAGGCTTTTCTGGCTGAGCCATAGCAATGACTAAGCTATGGGAAAAGCCTCCATTCTCTATATTGTAAAGGAAAATGTGGGTGGGGGAACTGGGCTTTCAGGGCTGAAGTCATTCAGCACTCGGGTGGCTCTGCTGCAAAGAGGAAAGAGGAGGACTCAACTTCGTGAGCCTGGGATGGGAGGTTTTGCAGATTTCCACTCTGCAGCCGTCGCTCTGGGGACGGGCAGGTGACGGTGTGAGAGAGAGTGCCATTATTTGACTCAGCATGTTCCTAAGCCACAAAAGAGAAGTGACGTGTTTAAGAAGCATGTTGCTCACTCTTATCTGATAAGAGGGATATCAAGGAGTTTTCCCCACTGCCTAGACATAAAGGAAGTTCTTCTTTGTCCTAATATTTCACTTTCTCTGTCAGCATGCCTTTCTTCAAGCAGTTATTGTGACCTTATAGTCTCTAACACAAAACAGAAGACTATACAGTTTTAGAGACATATATGATACACAACCACCTGCTACCACATTGAGAAGCTAAACGATAGGTATTTGGCATTCTAATTACTCCACCAACTTTAAAACTGATTTATGCTGTAACAGATTCGATTTAGGAATATCTCAGATAAAGCCACCTCACTTCCCATGAATTTGGTGGAGGTTTGCCATCCATGAATTATCCTGCTGGACCAGCAAGTTAATAAAGTCTGCCATATAATCTGTGATGCTTCTGGTAGAAAACGACAATGCTTCACTTAGTACGTACTGCTCAAACGGTTTCTGGTTTTATTGTACAGCTGTGCTTTCACACAGTAGGTTTTACTGTAAAATATGCAGTGGTCTTCACCACAATCAACCTTTTAAACTCCTCTAATATCCTAAGATCTCGTTGCTGCATGAGATCTGTAATTATTAGAAGTTTATGAAAAAACAAAAGGTGAACATTAAAATGGTTGTTAGCTACACAGGTACCATTCTACTATGGAATTGTGTGGCCATATAGACCAGAACCAGTACCTGGAAATGACTCCCAGAGACACAGCTCTATCTGGAATGCTATTACGCGTACTCTTGTCTAGAAAATTACCAAGGACAAAGAAAAATGCTCCGCTAGCCGATAATAGGTGAAGCATTTCCAGTTGATATGATAAAATATTAAAGCCACTGTACAATGTGGCTGTACAATGACAGGAGTCAATGCACTCTATGTTGTCTCTCCAAGCTCTCTGTTTCTGAAAATACCTGGACAGACATACTTTGCATTAGCTGAAGTTCTTGAGCGGTCCTGAAGTTACCTGGTCAATGCAAACAATCTGCAGTGATAACTTGGCATGAATAATTGCCAACCACCTAATGAGGACAGAGCTAATAGAGTTGTACTCCAGATCCACGTGGAAAGCTTCCATCATGCCACCAAATAAAGATGCATAAAATAAAGGCTGACAGGGCTAGCATGACCACCTACCATAGCTGGGCTCAAAGGAGCTTCTCAAAAGAATTCACAGTTGCAATACTGATTAAAAAAAAGCAGAAGCAGACATTATCACCAGCCTGCTCCTTGACTATCAACACTTCCAACAGCACAGTCAAAATCTAGATTGAGAATACAATGCACATTCATCCAAGTTACTAGTCAATAGCCTACAGAGAAGGTGAGGGTTCAGTTATGGTAAAGAGGAGCAGAGCTTAGTACCCTCTTCATGTGAAGAACATCCCTATCAAAAATAATTTCTCCATCCTCTCAGCAGCCTCACAGCACTGTTGAACAACAGATTAAAAATTTTTGCAAAGTTTCACGTGAATGGGATGGAGGGAGGGGGATAAAAATAAGTATTGGTCACCACATTGTTTCTCAAACAAAAGATGCTGCAGTTTTCCATTACTGAACCTTAGCTATAAATTAACACAACTTCTGAATCAAGCCTATTGAGATACCCTCTACTGCACAGTCCAGCTGCGCTGCTTATCTAAAATTATTTCAAGACATGTCCATCAAAAGAAATAATAAAATTTAAAAAAAAAAAAAGGATCCTACTACCTTTTCTTCGGGAAATTAAATTTTAGACGATGTGGTGGAAGTAAGAAAAAGAACGCTTTCTTATTTCAGTTCTCGTTTTTCAGGGTTTGAGATCTCTCAGGTGTGAGTAGCTATCCCTTTCCCCAGGAGAGTGCACATCCATGAGAGTGTGAGTGCACTATGTGTCTACACATGCACCTGTAAAATCTATTCCTTTAAGCTATCCATTTTCTGAAACATCATGCAACAAATAATCATTCATACACAGAAAACAAGCACACCTGAGTATACCATCAGCTTAAATGGTCATTTTGAAACAAACAATGAGAAATCAGGGACTTGACTACCCAGGCACCAACCAGACAGAAACATAGAGGTGCGTTCTACAGCATGTCAGCATTTTACAGACTAGCATTCTAGACACCAAACTCAAGCCCAAACACAGTGTAGATTCTGTAAAGCAACTCCAAAGCCACCTGAAATCTTCAGACTTCCAGAGGCAAAAAGTTAATTTGAAAGACCCTTGAGCACCTTTTTATTCACCACAGTGAAGGTGTCCAAGTGACTTCAACTTCCCTCTACTAATTCCACACAGGAACCTTTTAAGGGCAATATCATGGTGTTGGCAACCATTTATTGATGACAACGTGTAACAGCCAAACCATTTATTAATGATAATACGTAACAGCCATTTAAAGTCCTTTTTTTCCTCCTTGTGATGAAATATAGAGCCATGGAATAGAATCATGGAGCCATGTAGGTCGGAAAAGACCTTTAAGACCATGAAGTCCAACCATTAACCCAGAACTGCCCAGTCCACCACTAAACCATGTCCCTAAGTACCACATCCACACACATCTTTTAAATACCTCCAGGGATGGTGGCCCAACCACTTCCCTGGGCAGCCCATTCCCATGCCTGAGAGTCCTTTCATTGAGGAGATTTTTCCTAATATCAAATCTAAACTTCCCCTGGCACAACTTCAACACTTATTATTAGGAACAGTGATTTTAAAATCAACTGATCCCTAGAGCTGGCAGTCCAGTAAGTCCCTAGTGCCTGCAGAGAGCTTCAGCGAAAACAGCACAGCTCAGTGAGAGTGACAGGAACTGGGCTTGGGCTGAAGGCAATACAAAATAAAGGAGTATACTCAAGAAGAGTACGCTTAAATACCTTGAACTTCAGTGACAGTTGTTTAGGAAGAAGGCAATTGTGGAAGTCTGCGTAAGGGAACACTCCGTATCTGCATTTGCTGGAAAACAATCCCTTTGCTTATGCACAACTTCCAAATATTAGTTTCCTCAAAAGCAGCATATATATACTTAATTACAACAGGCATAATTTTTGAAGGGAATTATAATAATCAGCCTTATTTCTCAATTCAGATCATTCTGCCGGTTTTATTCTGGCTTTACATTTTTTAAAGTAGGCACTTTTGTTTGGATTTCACACAAAACAAATGCACTTCTACGTTCTCAAGAGAATTCTCAGGTATTGCTCCCACCTGGGGACCAGGCATGGTACAGGGATCCACCTCTCCCAGCGCAATCTCCCTGCCACTTACACCCCCAGTGGCCATACTCTCTATGATGCTGTTAAAATATCTGGTACTGATCCCAAGTAAATGTAAAGCCAACTTCAGCTGGTTTAAATGCCAAGATGAGCTTTTACTCACAGCTGTCACAGAAACCAAGCTAAGAATGTACAAGTGGCAGTTCAGAGACATCAGGGGGAACTAGGTAACAAACATCCTTTGGAGCCACAAAGTAGGCAGGATAAATACATTTAAGTTCTGAAAAGAAGTCCTGCCATATTTCTCTGGCACAGTACAGAAGAGCTGCAGATGCATTGGAGAGATTCGTTGCTGCAAGAAACAGGAAAAAAATGCAGACTCTTTGTTTACCTAGGTCTGTGGTTTCTAAGTACCTACTTTTTACTACGTTCATTTCTTGACTCAAAGTGAAAATGGGAATTCACCCTTTTCTCTTTTTTTCCTGTCCAATGTGCAGATGGGGCATATTTTCGTTCACTCCATCAATCCCTGCCCCCTACGCACAAGCTCGCATACATGCACCTAGCCAGTGGAAAAGAAAAAAGGGTTACTCATTAATCCATTCTACAAAGCTTTCCAAACTGAAATGGGTGGGTTTTACATCTCCAGCAAGGAGCGATATATAGGTAGGTATGTAGCATACCTGAGCACAGCTCAAACTGAAGTGTTCATCCTGAATAGCACAACTTTGGTCCTGGCACATTTTCAAACAAAAATCATCAGTATGGAGAGGAGGATTATTTTCTGCATGCTTTTCTTTTGTTCCAGTATGGCACTGGCTGCACCTTCACCCAGAATACTAAAATACAAACAGCTCCTCAAGAAAATTCAATGGTTAGGAACCATAGTGAAAGATAAGGTAAGCAAAGTATTTGGCATTATAGTGAAATTATTTTCAAGCATTATGTATCGCTTAGAATGTATCTGGTGAGGGACATCACTTTCAAATGTTAAACTTTTCTAACTTAGATTTGTTTTATTGCAGGATGTTGAATTGCTGCATACACCAGAAAACCCTGTGGTGAGACTGCTTTAACATTTCTTTCTAATTATATCAATTTGATTTTGTACCGGTTTATTCCACTGAAAGATGGCAGATGCTATCTTCTTCACATTTCTGACCTAGTACTCTTAATGCAAGCTAGACTGAACAAGAAAATACTTTGCAAAAAGTTCCTTATTTATGGGGATTTTTAATGGCAAAAGTGTTTGCATTACTATTTTGCTGTCATGGGTGTATTCTCACACCCCCACAGATTCAAGCGTGTATGTATTCCGTTTACTCAAGAAAGGGTGCTAAGAATGAGGATTCATACAAGATCCAGACAAGCAGCAGCGCTCTAGGGGGTGCAGGTTTTGGGAGTGGAAGTACCTCCAGCCTCCATGAGCTCCAGTCCACTGGGAGCATTGCTGAGCTGAACCCAAAGGGACCCCACACTTTCCCTCCCACTGAAGCTAAATGCCAAGAGTGGCACTGTAAGGCCATATTAGATAGCGCTTCCTTTCGTATGCAGTCACACTGGTTTCTCAGACTATTTATGTGCAAAGGTTGTGCTATCAATGGGAGGATATAACTGCATTCTGCAAGTATTCTCATTGGATTATAACCAGCTACAATTACAGGAACAGGTCCTTGTGAATCCCTTTTTAATACAGATATTTATTTAAACATTATTTAATGCTGGTATTTTGTGTGCTCCAAGGTCGGGAACTCGTTACATGTAGTAAATCGTACCAGTCACAGAAAGTGTGTGCATACTCGGAAGTGGCAGAGTGCAGGATTTACTGTGAAATTAAATGCTAATAATAGTAACAACATGTCTTAAAAGCTTAGAAGGTAAATGCATCCTGCTTTTGATAATCCCCAACATGCAACAGAGGTCTAGAGCTAGCCATGGCTAACCCAGTGTTTGACTTCTGTTATCAGCTGTCTTCAATTTACCCATAATTTTGACTTTTCAGCCCTGACAGCTACTTCAGAAAGCAAACGATTTTGACTGACACAAAAAAATGAGCATTATGTGTAGTTTTTTGAAAAATGCCCAGCACATAAAGCTATTTACTTAGGACCATAAACTCTCTTGCAAAACAATGATAAGAAGAAAGGAAAAAAAACTCACCTCATTTCACACAGGTTTTGTTAGCCTCCTCCTAGGCTTTACAGTTGGGTGTATTTTTTACCTGCCAAAACGATATAGAAGCATGACCAAAACAGATAACGTTCCTTCTCACTGCTAGAAACACCCACAGTGCAAAAACCTAATGCCCCCTAACTAATGGCTGGGGGTTTTCTCATTA